AGGTGCTGGGAAATCTCCATTGGAGTGCAACCATACAAAGGAAGGAATTTACCTCAAGATTGTAAATTACAGTCTCCATGGCACACCATAGTTGAAACACAGAAATAAGGTATATCTTCCTTTTCTGTCTGCAGCCTGTCAGTCAAGTATTAAAACCTGTGCTGATTTATTTGGAAACATCCCACTGATGAAAGTGAATTTCTAATACAGGAGAGAATTTTGCAGATTACTGTTGGTAAATTCTACATACTATCTGGAAAATTATTAATTCTGCCATAATCATATAGATTATGTGTTCTGGGAAGACCCCCCTCCAACGAAAACATTTTGTTGCCAGCTGGGAAGGTTATTAATTTTACTATTAGATCAGGTCATTTCTGGAGATCAGGTGAATTTCCTGAAAATTCGAAGCAACATTGTTCCATTGGAAAGGGTACCCTCATTTTCATGTCACACCAGGTCAAACTAAGGAGAAATTCACTGAAAACAAAGGATGCTGCAGTCCAAATAAGGACACTACATTACTACATTAAACAAGTAAGAAAGCACTGCAATATATAAACTAATTGTGTGTGAATGCTGTTCTTTGTCTTAAAACAAGTTGATATTTCTCTTTGCAGCTTCTAATTCCAATTAATTTTTTACTCATATCATTATGAGCTTTACTACTTCCCTATTCCAATTAACATAAAGCTTTTTATTTCATATGACTTTAATGACACAAGGCCCACATCTTTCACAATGTTCCATCATACAAAAATGGGGTATGTTCTGGCCAATGGACCCACAGGTAGTTACTGGAGAATTTCTGTGTTTATTTCTCCTATAAACTGACACAGTGATGTCAGAGAGCATGATACTCACTGAAGAGTATCAGCACCCTGAGGTCCCAAATTTAGGCATGAGCAACAGAACTTTAACAAGCAGACAAGGAGACCTGGGGAGCAGTTAATGCATACAACAAGAAAGTGAAAAGAAAAACCCAAAAAACCAACCAACCACAAAGCAAACACTACAAAAGCTACAAATACACTAAATGACACATTCTTAAAAAAATATTTAGTGGTGCTGAAGGCATAAGCCTTGTCAGAATGATCTTGGAACAACAACTTTGGTTGTTCACAGACTCTATTATTATAAAGACCTTTTCTATTTAATTTTTTAGACATTTGTAGCTATGTTAGCCTATGCAATGAGGCTGGGGATCACACAATGACAGGCTAAAGCTGCACCAAAGGCAGGCAGATGCTCTTAAAACTCTGCCTCACAGTTTCCTTGCTGCCCCTCTGTCCTGAACAGGATCAACCTTGTTATTTTGAGGTGTCTCCAACACACCAACTGCTTGACAACACACTGATCCCACCACCGGCCGAGTAGCAAGGCCAAAGTTTTGATTAGGTGCTTAAAGCCCTCCTTTCATTATTCCCCGGGTCTGACAGCAGTCAGCCTGGAGGCCCTTGTCAAATTTCACGACTTGTCATGACATCTTGCTGACTGACTGGAACAGATGTCAGCAAGGGAGCTCGTCCCTCACCACGGCCCAGTGGCACCATCACGTGCCCACAAACAGTCTCCCCGTTTGACCTCAGCACGAGCTGCACTGATACCACATCAGGAAGAAGAATTTCTTCACAGAAAGGATGGTTAAGCATTGGAAGGGGCTGCCCAGGGAGGTGGTGGAGTCCCCATTCCCGGAGGTGTCCAAGGAACAACTGGACGTGGCACTCAGTGCTCTGGGCTGGAGGACAAGGTGGGGATGGGCACAGGTTGGACTCGATGATCTTGAAGTGCTTTTCCAATCTAAATGATTCTGTGAATACATTTCAGAAGAGTAAGACTTTTTGTGTGCACATGTGTCTTCCACGAGACTGGAAGTGCACTGATATTTGCTTTGTTACCTAGTGAGGAGTGAATGTCAGCTGCTCCAGAGCAGTGCTCAGTGTGGATCAAGAACCCCATCGCCACCACCTCCACCACAACAGGGGTGTTTGCATCATGAGAGTCCAGGGAGCAGCCAGCAGAAGTGCCATGTTCTCCTTACAGGGTCCAAATGAAAAAAGCACACAAAAGAGGGATTTGTTTGTGCCGTTCAGAGCAGCATTAGGTCCCCTCTATGTTCAGTGACCCCACCAGATGGGTCACAGTGCACAGCTGCTGGCACACAGCCTTTGCCTGCAGAGCCACTAAGAGCCAGGCAAGGGACCACAGGGTGAATCTCTCTCTTCCCTGAGTTCTACATTTTATATGTCCCAGTCCAGCCAAGCCCATTCCCATTTGTACCTCTCTCCCCCTTTGAAATGCTCTGTCTTCCCTTCCACAGCCTTTTCTTCACCCTGTTTGTATACAGATCATTGTCCTATTGTTCATAAAGCACTCAGAGGTGAATGGTATTATATAACTGCTAGTTACTGCTTTATCGTTTTTTTTAGAATGATGGAAAAATGGAAAGGAAATGCAGACTCCCCTTGAGGCCAGGCAAAGCAAACTAAACTTACATTACCGGTGACCCAAATGAACATTCACCTCAGCATCCCTAACATGGAAAAATCCATTTTAGTACCTACTGTCCCACACAAAATAAAATGACAAGCCATTGACAACTATGGCATGTAAGCATGTGTGGGGTGAGAAACCTTCTGTGTTGTAGCTCCTACTCAAAAGACTTTACAAAAAAGTGTGGGTTTCTTGTTCAGTTGGGTTTGTTTGGTTTTTTTTTTATCTGTTTCCAATGATTTGCTATTCATTAAGCTTATCTTGATGCTTTTGATATGGCAAAGAGGTTTTATTCAGCTTGCTATTCATTCCAGGCCAGCTAAGATAAAATCAATAATAGTTAGGACTGATTTCCTTCTTGTAATGGGCCTAGAATTGGCATATGCAGCCAAAACTCTCTTCTCGTTTCATATTTCCCCAGTTCTCTCTTACTCTCATACTCTTTTCTGGCAGAAGTTTGCATCATTTAGTGTCCTCTGCACTTCTCTGCATCCCAAGCACGGACACCAGCTGCCTGCTGAGCTCAGTGAAGCTTCTTGATCCTGAAATCCATTACAGCAAAAGCAGGTTCTCGCTGCTGGAAAGTGGAATTACACCCTCACCCAGGCCAAAGCTGCAGTTCTTCATGCAGATAATCCTGGTGCTTGGTTTGCAACTGATCCTGACAGGATCCTGACAGGATCAGTGGATCATGTCAAGAGGACTGCTCTGATGAGTTAGTGGCTGCAGAAACAGACCCTCTTTGTAGTAACAATCTGGTGTTCCCAATACAGTGTCCTACAGCACCACTTCTTTTCCAGCTCACAAACTATACCACAAACCTACATATTTGCCCCAAAGCCCAAGGAGAAGGCCAAGGTTTCAGCACAGTGTGCAGTATCTTCAAACAACCACAGAATACCCTGGGTTGGACGGGACCCACAAAGGATCATCCAAGTCCAACTCCTGATCTCAAAACTCACAATCTCAAAGGTCAGTCCATCAAAAACACCTGCTGAGCACTGTGTGACTTTAAGCATGTGCTTAAAGCTGAGCCCACGCTCAGTGCCTTGCTGCATGTTTCCGGTCATATTACTCAGTTTTTGGCAGAAGTCTCTCTCACTAGAAAGCAAATCCTCTACTGCCTTAAAAGCCAATAGAAATTATGCATTATTTGTAAAGAAGGTGTCAAAGCCGAGTTTGCCTGAACTGTGCTGGACAACTCTTTAGAAACACAAGCAAAAAACCATATTTTTAACCATATTTTGAGAATAATTGGTTTTCTTTTTATTGGAAAGTTCTGTTGCATTATTATGGAAAAACATAGTATATTCAAACTGAAGGTTGAGGAATGATTTGATAAGTTTGTACAGAACTCTTTGCAGCAGTCAGGGTATTTTGCTTTCACTAGGCTTGTTTTCTGTTGGGACTAACTCTACTCTCAGTTGTGGCAGGGCACATATTAGAGATTAGGAAAAATATTCTTCCCTGTGAGGATGGTGAGGCACTGGAAGAGGTTGCCCAGAGAAACTGTGGATCCCTGGAAGTGTTGAAGGCCAGGTTGGATGGGGCTCTGAGCAACCTGGGCTAGTGGAAGGTGCCCCTGCCTTGGGGACAAGGTTGACTGGGGGGTTGGAACAAGATGATTTTTAAGGTCCCTTCCAACCCAAGCCATTCTATGATTCTATATCCTAAATCTGAAGATGAATTTAGCAGCTTGGCTCTCATGGGAAGTTAAAGGCCCTCAGCACCTTTCAAGGCTTAGTCCTGTGGTATCTCTGCAAACATGAAGTAGGGTTTAACAAACAGCCCTGATAATGCCACAATTCACTGCCAGGAAGGGTGAGGATTTCACTCCCCCTTGCTTCCCACTTCCCTGCACCACTGACCTCTCCCATCCCTTCCTTGCGCTGTCTCTGGCGCTCACTTGCTTTCCAGCTCAATAATTTGACAGAAAAAGATCTACTTTGTTATTGCTGCATTGGATTTTCTGTCAGGTGAGTGAGCTCAAGCAGCTCCTGGAAGAGAAGGCAGCGCTTGCACTTCCACAAGGATAGAACCAGTTCAGCGTAAGCAACAAAAGGGCACACAGTGGGAAGGGGAAAACTGAAATGGAGGGAGGAAGACAAGGCCTTCCCTTTAGATCACCAATGGGCTTTAAGATCAGCTCATCCCACCCCCCATAGCCCTGATCTCTTTTTAACCTACATCAGCTTAGTGTTACTCCACTAAATGCAATAACTACAGTGATGTAATTCAGATCACTAATATCCATATGCAGGGTTCTACTGTTAAACAAGGGACTGTATGGACACATTGTCCCTGCTCTGAGGAGCTGACAGTCCAATTCAACACAACATGCAACTGGAAGACCCAACTCTGGATGGCAAAAGTGGTCAGGAAGGTGGGGGGAGTAGTTACAGAAAGACAAACCCAACATTTTATCCTAAAAGACTCACTGAATTGCTTAGCACTTCTTCAGCTGAGTCAGATGGATTTGATCACTGAAAGTAAATCAAACTACTCACCTGAGCAAAAAGCTTTAAGTTCATCAGTGATCTAGATCTCAGCATGTGCAACAGGGAATTATAGCACTTCTTTGTTTCATCTTAGATTCAGCCTCCCCAAAGAGCTGATTCTGCACTTCCCCTTGATGCAAAAACTCCCATCAAAGCAAACAGGAGATCTGCCTGAGTCTGGAGTGCAGCTGCACCGCACACTTTGCCTGTCAGTCTTGTTGCAGCTTCTCAGCATATTATGGCATCGCTTCCCAGCTAAATAAACAAATACACAAGAAACCTACACCTCAACGTGAAAGATGCTGTTCTCTATTATGAGATTCAACATCCTTCCTCTCACCCCGGGGGTTTGGGCTGAGCTCTGTGTTCATGAAAAATACAACTTGCTTGGCACTTATTTTACTGAATGGGAAGGAAAAAAACATGATGCATTTGGGCATTATCATTGGGGGGCCACAGTAAGGGGCAGGGAAGCAGCATTTGTGTCTGGCTAAAGAGAATGTCAGAGCACTGCTCTGCAAAGCTGATTTAAATTTACGGCAGTACGTATATCTGAGGTACTTGCATAAATTATAATCCCAACTGAGATTTACTTAGTTATATTAGAAAATTTGTCAGAAACAAACCTGGAGCGTTGACAACCAAGCCTTCTCTTTCTGCTAGTCTCGCTGTGCCACTGTGTGTGGGAAAGGCATGGAACATCCTTCAGCAATAAAACAGGAGTTTGAGGGGGAAACAGAGATGTCCTTTGCAAGAAAAAAAGCTCTTTGAGTTAAAGGAGCAACCTTCTGTCAGTCTTCACTAGCAAACTGTACCACGCTGATGAAGACAATGAATGTGTCACTCGTCCTTCAACGTCATCTTAACTGTAAAATCCACAGCACTGAGAAGGTTTTGTTTGGAAATAAAAAGCAAACAAGGATGTGTTCTGATGAAAGATGATGCTCTCCATCCCAGTCTGAGATATAAGCCACGCGATGGTTATTGAAGTATCACGGCATGTCACATTAGACTCCTCAGGTGCCATCCATTCCCAGTCCATTATTACTAAAATCAGTGAACTGTGTACACAAGTGGTGTGTGGATACAGAAAGGTGACTGATACACGTGCCAAAGTAATCTGGAGCGTACAACGAAAACAGTTTTGCAGATATTGCACTGATATTCTACTTTCTTGTTATGTCTGTCCACTCCCTCATGCTTTTGATCTGTTGTGCACTTGGATCGAAACCAGTAACAGCAGACAGAAAAGATACTTTCAGTCTCAAAAATATAACAAAGGTATAAAACTCTAAAACTACCAAAAAAAAAAAAAGCTGCACATACTTTCAGAGTGGGGACAGTAAGCACATGACTGAATTATTTAGAAATTCTGAAACAGGAAGGTAATTAATAAAATTATTTATAAAGAAGTATATCTACAATATTTAATAATTTAAGGCTCACAAGAAACTAACATATCAATGACAACAGAATTTTTCTGCTACAGGGTTCAAAGCACCAAATTCACTTCACATACAGGATAACCAGATCTGTATTGATCACAAGTGGAAAACTCTGAAAGTGCTGATCTGCTAATGTTCCTAGTGCTTTAATGATGTCATATTTCACAGGAATAAGAAATCCCCTCTCAACCATAAATACACTCATACAGGTATAAAATATATTGGAATTATTTCAATTTGAAACTACAGTACAAAAGCCCTCAACCTCCCTCCCCCCCGATCCATTCATTCTCCACACACACATCCCCCCAACTCTTTAATACTAAACTTGGAGCAACTGAATTGGTTACAAATTACCCATTTAAAACCAACCACCATTGCTACAATAAGTTTCTACAAATTAGATTTTTCACTGTCATAATTTACCAGCTCCTGCATCATGGAGCGTAGCTTATTCTTAGTCTACTTTAAAAATAGGTGACCCTTTGTGTCATGGAAAAAGAACATAAAAACATGTATTCCTGGAGGACTGCTCAGGACAGTGATCAGTTTAGAAAATACAGCCTGACTTAAAAAACTAATTGGTACTAAAAGAATAATTATAGTAGCAAGTTTCTGACACCAGTAAATCTTTCTACATCTCTGAACTCTAACTCTCTCCTCTCCTTACAGGTCTGTTTCCCTGTTGGTGTCCAGACAGAGAGCATAGAGGGATTTTCTGAGATCTACATTGCTTTTCGCCTTGATAGTGGCTTTTTCTATGGAGCTGGTGCCATTGTTGAACTCCTCACTGTTTTCCAAGTGCACAACAGATTTGTTCAGAGAGTTTGTACTGGGTCTTCTCTTCGCATCTGCCCCCGCTGTGCTGCCCTGAGCACTACTGTGCTCATCTTTGAGGATGGATTGCTCTTCGTGATCAGTCTCCCGGTGGTAGAAGTAGTTGAAGTTGGACACAATGACAGGGACAGGGAGGGCGATGGTGAGCACACCTGCAATGGCACACAAGGAGCCCACAATCTTGCCCCCCACAGTGACAGGTCTCATGTCCCCGTAGCCCACAGTAGTCATGGTTACCACTGCCCACCAGAAAGCATCAGGGATGCTGGAGAAATGAGACTCGGGGTCATCGGCCTCAGCAAAGTAGACAGCGCTGGAGAAGAGGATCACCCCGATGAAGAGGAAGAAGATGAGGAGGCCCAGCTCCCTCATGCTGGCTTTCAAAGTCTGTCCCAAGATCTGCAGCCCCTTGGAGTGCCTGGAGAGCTTGAAGATCCTGAAGACTCTGACCAGACGGATGACTCTGAGGATGGCCAGGGACATGGCTTGCTGCTGGCCCCCTCCCCCATTGCTGCTGCCAGCTCCGGGCTGCTGCTGCTCGTGGGCCAGCTCGGTGCCCAGGGTGATGAAGTAGGGGATGATGGCCACGATGTCGATGATGTTCATGATGTTGCGGGAGAACTCGGGCTTGCTGGGGCAGGCGAAGAAGCGCACGAGGAGCTCGAAGGTGAACCAGATCACGCAGGTGGTCTCGATGATGAAGAAGGGGTCAGCCAGGCTGCTGGGGGGCTGCATGGGTGGGGAGTCCCCAGTGGTGCCATTCAAACCTCCACCTTGTGGGGGCAGGGGCACAGGCAACTCCCTCTCGTCCCTGAACTCGGGCAGGGTCTCCAGGCAGAAAGTGATGATGGAGATAAGGATGACCAGCACGGAGACGATGGCGATGGCCCGGGCTGAGCTGGAGCTTTCGGGGTACTCAAAGATGAGCCAGACCTGGCGCTGGAACTCATTGCGGGGCAGGGGCTTCTCCTCCTCTTTGATGAAGCCCTCGTCCTCCCGGAAGCGCTCCATGGCCTCCTCACCCAGCTGGTAGAAGCGGATCTCGTCGGCGAAGACATCGATGGAGACATTGACGGGCCGGCGGAGCTTTCCCCCGGACTGGTAGAAGTACAGGATGCCGTCGAAGCTGGGCCGGTTGCGGTCGAAGAAGTACTCGTTGCGGAGCGGGTCGAAGTAGCGGATGCGCTTGTCCGGGTCCCCCAACAGCGTGTCGGGGAACTGGTTGAGGGTGCCCAGCTGGGTCTCGAAGCGCAGCCCGGAGATGTTGATCAGCACCCGCTGGTGGTGCATGGCGCCCGGGTTCACCGCCGCCGCCGCCGCCGCCTCCTCCTCCTCGTCTCCCGCCGCCGCCATGGCCATGCCCCGGCGGTGTCCCCCTTCCTCCGGGGGTCCCACGTCCGCGCCGGGGCGCGGGGCGCGGGGCGGCGGCCGGGGCGGCGCGGAGGGGGCGCGTCCCTCCGCCGGCCGCTCCTCGGGGCCGCCCCTGCGGGGACCCGGCGGGGGCCGCTCCGGCTTCTCGTCCCCCGGCGGGGGCCGCTCGGGCTCCTCGTCCCCCGGCGGCGGTGGCATCGGCGGCGGCGCGGGCGGCGGGGCTCCCTCCTTGCCGTCGCTCAGCTGCGGCGAGCCCGCGATGTGCAGCAAGTTGCCCCGCCAGCGTGCCCGGGCGCCGGCGGCCGCGGCATCCTCGCCACCCGCGATGGCCGTGGTGCCGCCGTTCTCCAGAGTCACCAGCGCGATCTCCATGGGCAGCAGCGGCAGCAGCAGCAGCAGCAGCGGCGGCGGGAGGCAGGCGCGTCTGAGGCGGCGGGCATGCTGCGCTCGCCGGCCCCGCTGCCGCCGCCGCCGGGCACCTCCGGGCGGCCGCGCTGCCCTGCCCTGCCCTGCCCTGCCCTGCCCTGCCTTGCCCTGCCCTGCCCTGCCCGACCCGCCTCCCCTCACTGCGCGGCCGAGCGCGGCCGAGCGCGGCCCGGGGGAGCCGCCCGGGGACCCGGATATGAACGAGCGATCATTATATTATGGGCGCTTGACGTCAAAGAGGATCCCTCCTGCTCCGCGCCCCCGTGCAGGCAGCGCCAGCATCCCCCGGGGACAACCGGGATGCCGCGCATCCCATCCCATCGCGCCCCGCCCCGCCCCGCCAAAAGGGATCCGCGTCGAGGCGCGGATGAGCTCCGGGAGCGGGTCCCAGCCGTGGGATGCCCACACGTGCCCTGGGGATGCCCACAGGTTTCGCGGCTCGGGGAGCGCTCCGGGGATGCGGGAAGGCGGGCGCCGCGGGTACCTGTGCCCGGGGAGGGAGGGCTGAGCTCGCCCTCCGCCCCCTGAGGCTCTCGCCCGCTCCCCCAGCCCTCGCCCCCGCCGCGCCTGGGGATTACGGAGCGGCCCCCCACGCGTGGATTTGCTCGCTAAAGGGATTGCGCGCAGCTGCAAACCCCCACTCACCTCTAATGAAAATCAGAACAGACAGCCCGGGGATTCCTGGCGCCTCTTGGCGTGTATCTCCCCCCGCGCTTTTCCCGGTGGAATGAGAACAAAGGAAGGGATTGGGTATTTTTATTTAGATTTGCGGTTGCTCTCCCCCTCTCCTCCTCCCCCCCGGTTTCTCATGGAATTAGTGCAGCTCCGAAAGGTGCTTCCCAAGCCAGCAGACAACATTTCTACCTTCATGTGAGGGTTTGCAAACGGGGCTATTCTTGCCCTCTGATGCATTCTTAAACCCATATCCAAGTCTGAAACATTTTAGTAGATGCACATTTTATTAGAGAAAAGGAATCGAAGCAGCTTTGCACAATGACTTCAGTTACAGTTCAGTAATACAGTCCATGCTAAGATCTCACTTTCTGTATTCAAACCATGAAATCATCCATTCTATTCAAGGTCTACAGGTGAACATACTAAACATGTATATAAACACTGTAGGATGAGAACCTATCTGCATATACACCACTCCACTCTTGTGGAGTTTCTGGGTTTCTAACAAAATCGAATGTAAATATGAAATTAGGTGAAAACCTTTTTGCTTTCCAGTTGGCATCACTGCAGAGACATTTTACCTGAATCCTTATGGTAATATTCATAGCTCCATCAAGCAGTTCACATAGATTCACCGTGCGTAGTGGTTTTCCCTTAATTTAAAACATCACCTCTCTGTATTAAATATGCCCAAAGATATTAAAGGCAGTGCCAAAATAGGAAACCATAATTGCATTAAATAGTTTCTGTAAGTGGTGATTTGCCCATGTTCTGTAATTTGCCTCTGAGAACTGAGCACCGAATCACTGACCTGTTTTGCCACCGTGCCAGTGAAGTAAAGGACTGCTTTACTCACCCAAGTAATTCCTAGAAGCAAAATTACAGATAAGTTTTCTAGAGCAGCCTCTTTGAAAAGAACAGCCCTCTGATTTAAAGCTACTTAATGGCATAATGTATCAAATTTGCAAAATGTAGTATAACAGCCCTTGGGACTAGCAAAGTCCACAATAAATACAGACACACCATAAACACACCTGTGCACTCCAACAAGTAGTAGCTGATCTGCTGCCAAGGCATGTCAGGGATTATAACCAGAGAAGGGCTTCCACGCTGGAAAATTAATCTGGTTTTCCAGCTCTGTCAGCTGCTTTAATGCAAGGCATTCTCCCTCCAAACATTGCCTCAGGAATAATAATATTTCAAGAGGAAACATCTCCAGACATTTGTGATGGTGGGCACCACGCAGAGCACAATGAAGTGCAGAGAGGGCTAGAAAACTTGCTGCCTCTCAAATGGTTGTATCCATTCTGTCATTCCTTCATCAATAATAGGGAATGCCTGGGAGAGATTATGCTGAATTTAAATTCTCCCTTCAAACCAGGTTTCCAGCCTTTCTAAATACTGTGTTGCAGTGTTCACATCCTGAATTTGCAGGCAGATGGGATTATGCTAAAGTGCAGAGAAAGACTTGCCCAAATTCATCAGGATGAAAGCCTCACAGAAAACCCTATGAAGAAAACGTATGTTATTAATTGATATCTCAGGAAAATACAGCTTCTTGTATAACATTTGAGTAACTTGTGACTACTTTGCAGCTTTACCAGTTCTGAGAATCTAGCATGGTATCTGCAGATGTGGGTACAAAGGAAGTAGGGAGAAAAGGGTGAAGAAAAAGGGAGAGGATGATGTTAAAGGGGAAGAAACATCTGCTCCAAGCAGGGATTTGTAAAGGGCAATCTTTATTTAATAGCCTTCATTTTTTGAGTTTGGTGTAAACACCCCAAACTCTTTCTTGAAGAGCAGTCCTACCAGCAGAAAGCCAAGGTACTGGAGAGAAAGGATGACATGCAGAATGGGGAAACATATCAAGTGCTGAGATGTGCTGTTAATGTTTTAATCAGGCACTCCCTGATAAAGACTTTATTTGTCCCCATGCTTGTGATTTAGCCCAAAGTACTTCTACTGCGAGCACATGCACACATGAAATCAGTCCCTAACCCTCCAGCACACCCATACCAAAATCTAGCATTCTCTCCACCTCCCACTGCCACTCAGATCTCCTAATCCACTTATAACACCTGTTGTCCGGTCCCGTGACTGGGATGTTCTTTTTTCCCCCTCATCTTTTCCACACAATGGCATTAGTGACTTATCCCTCATTTGCAGGTTTTCTCCTGAGGCTGGAAAAGTGGGACTCACCTGGCTAGGCAGCATCAAGGGGCGGCCTAAATCCAATTCTTTTAAGATTCCCTACTTTACCAACTAACACCTAGGAAAGGTTCATACAGGTTTTGCAGAGGAAATGCTGCCCAAGCTAGAGATTCTCTTTCACCTAAAGGCAGGTTGTATCCACAACACTGCCTTACCAACACTTCCATGGGGAGAAAACAAGGATAACATCCTTATGCCCAGCAGAGCCATCATGTCAGGGACGTGAAAAATATGTGCCTATGGCACAGGTTGGTCAGAGAATCTGTAGCTGCCCCATCCCTGGAAGTGTCCAAGGCCAGGCTGGATGGGGCTCTGAGCAACCTGGGATAGTGGAAGGTGTCCCTGCCCGTGGCAGGGGGTTGGAACGAGATGGTCTTTAAGGTCCCCTTCCAATCCAGGCCATTCTGTGATCCTGTGATTCTACCTACCCACACCCAAACACACCTACACACACACCACACACCCTCTGGTGCACCTGACTAAGGACACCTTTAGGATCAACCAGTCTTTTCACAGATACTCCCTCTTGGGCCATCCCTATGACTGACAATGAGTAGCAGCATCACAAAAATAAAAACAAAATGCTGAGATGTGAAGAGATGCACACCGGCCTCAAGGCTTAATCTGCTCACAGCCCCCCTGCTCCTCTGTGGCAGTGGGACTCTGTGTGTCTCCCCACAGGAGACTCCTTTTTTTCCCTTCTTCACGTGTTGACTAAATAACGGTGCCATTGTGGCAGATGGTGAGGAAATCACGTGAAGCCGAGAAGACACCGAAGGGGTTAAAGGCAAATCCGTGCCCCCACCACTTGGTTAATTCCTTGCAGCCTGATCCCATGTTGAGATGATTCAGGCCAGAGAGAGAGACTGCCACAGTCCCCAGGAGAGACCCCAGGGAAAAGACTCGTATTTCCTGTTCAGGAGGATTAAGTACAAGGCCATTGAAAAAATCACAGTAAACATCTGGATGTGAGCACTCCATCTATCAAGCCCTAATCCACGAAGCTATTCATTAATGAATTCAGCAAATTCACATGTTCTATATATAGGGTTGTTGGCTAGTAGGTGTTTTACATCTATACCAACAGATTTTTATTTTTTGTATGAAGCAATCTGCTGTATTCTGCTTTTGTTTGATTAATGGTTTAGAGTAATTCTTTTGCCATTTTTAAAAAAATAACACACACCACTGTATTTTCTGACAATATATAAAAATCTAGTAGTTAAAACCCAACCACGTTCCTGCCTTTGCTTTGCAATTTTAAGCCCAAGTTCCTCTGGAAACTTTCCATCACACGGGGATGGAAAAAACATTAAATAGTAATTGATTTTCTTTTCTGTATTTTGTTTTGATTAAAATGAGAATCCCTCTCATTTATCTTCAGACAGAAAGTAAGCATTGAGTAAATGGTCTGGTTAATTCAAAAGTAATTTGATCAGAACATCCATAATTTACATTGACTGGAACAGCAGGAAAGATGCTGAGCACTAGCAGATATCAAGCTTATTCATTTAAACAGACTACTTCCATTACGCTTTACATCTTGTTCATGTAAACTACTCTAAGAACTATAATGACCCACATTTTATAAGGGGGAGACTTACACACAACTCTGCCCTTAAATGTCATGTTAAGCTTGAGCAACACCCCAGCCTGCTCACTGCAAACCAGGCCGTGGAGCTGAGCGTGTTGTTTTCCACACAGCTGTGCCAGCTTGTTTCCAGAGAATTCTGCAGGCTCTGTTATTGATACCAGTGGAATCAGCATTTGGCCCAGAGGTTTTTACAAATCCAGCTGCGACAGGATATTTTCAACTCATCCTCCAAGCTTTGGACTCTGCCAGGCAGCACGAGCCACCCAAACTTGCAATTTGTAATTCCCAGCCCTTTTGACTTCCAGTGCTTTGCTGTGGTGTAATCTTAAACTCCAGGGACTTGATCTTAGAGGGGAAATCCCATTCTGTGCCTTTATTTTCTGCTAAATTCAGGGGCACATACCCGTATTCTCAAGTTTTTGCTCTTGTTACAACAGAATGGCCCAGGTAGACAGTTCCAACTGTG